AGAACCACTGAGAAATAGATTTCTGGATCATGTGACTCTATTAATCATTAAGACCCAGTAAAAAATTTTTTGTCTTCTTCATTTCAAATAGTATTTTATATATGAAGTTTTAAAATTAGAATTATCTGGAGCTTAGTATGTCCTAAGGAAGTAATAATGAAAGAAATAGGTATTCTGAGTTAAACTTAGAAGAGACCTAATCTAATTGACTGAATCAAGTAAGATAGAAGTTTGGGTAAGCAGTTGTGTATATGAATGTTCTGGGGAGAATTAATTCTGTAAATAAAACTTCCTGCTGTTGTAAGGCAGAGGCTATCCAGCACATGTGTTTGCAAATGAGAAGACATTTTAAAAACTCAGAAATATTGTGAAGCACACCTCAACTCTTTTAAAAATCAATAATCTTTGTGTGACATTTAGCTCTAGCTCAGACACATAGCCAAGCCAGTTTTTAATAGATCTTAATTTTGACAACCTCCCCAGCAGTAATCCTGATGGTTCCATAAATTAGCATTACAATGAGAAAATTAAAAGACCTTTAATTATCAAGTGTACTTCATCTTCATCTTTTTTAATTTAATTTAATTTTTTTGCAGTTTGGGCCCTCTGCACCTTGCTTAGGCTTCCTAACTGTCTTAGCCATCTAGCTTAGCATAATGTCCACGCTGCTTCTTCTCTATCCACTTCATTAGTCTTACATTCCACTAACATGTTTTCCTTCTTCCTGGTTTTTTTATATTTATTTATTTATTTTATGGATGTGAGTGCTCTATCTGCATGCACAGCTGCACACCAGAAGAGGACATCCGGTCCCAGTGTTGATGGTTGTAAGCCACCATGTGGTGCTGGGAATTCTGAAACAGCACCAGTGCTCTTAACCACTGAGCCATCTCTCCAGACCCTTCTTTTGTTTTCTAATAGCACAAGATACTAAAATTATAATTTACTAACCTAGTAAGAGATAATTATGCCCAAATTACATTAGTAGTCGGAGCTGTAAGAGAACTGTTAGACAGTTTGATGTCATAAATTATCCTGTCACCAAGAAGGGCAGAAAGCTTAGTCTGTTAACCCTTTAATCACTGGGTACTTTTAATACACTGAAAACAACTTTTGTGGGGAAACCCAGGAAGTGGGTTCTGAAGCACAAATATGTGCAGGTCATCACAATGAGCTACACTTGCTAAATCAAGCTGTGATGGCTGTTTTAAGTGCCGCTCTCATGGCTTCCTATGGCAATTCCAATAACATAACTCTTCATGAATTTTTCATGGCTAGATGGTTGTACTAACCTACCAGATATTCCCAATGCTTCCTGGGACAAAAACGGTTTTCCCTTAAGAAAATCTGAAGTATATGAAATTGGGACCAATTTGAAATACCACTGCAATTATGGCTACCAGTCAGCTTCAAATGAATCCCATTTTGTGACTTGTCGGGAAAACCAGACATGGTCGCCTTCCAGAGGATGTGAAAGTAAGTGGACTTAAACCTGGAAAAGATACCAAGTGCATGTAAGTTTTAAATTATCTATTGAATGCATTAAGCACAGTCTTTTAAATTTCCTGGGGCCTGTTCCGTTACATGGGATAGGGATAGTTTTTGTAAAAATTCAGTGCATGTTTGAAAATATTCATTATTTTGTGATTATTAGTTAAAAGTTGTATATTTATCAATTACTTCTAATTCTGTGATTGTGACATTAGAAATCTATGTATCAATTCTACTGAAGAAGACTTATTTGATAACATGTTTCTCTTTTGTATTTTAGGGTTTTTATTTTGTTTTGTTTGGGGTTTTTGGTTTTTCAAAACAGTGTTTCTTTCTGTAGCCCTGGCTGTCCTGGAACTGGATCTGTGGAGCAGGCTGGCCTTGAACTACAGAGATCCTCCGGCCTCTGGAGTACTAGGTTAATGGTGTGCACCACCACACCTGGCTCTATTTTTTAGTTTTAAATTTTTTTTTTTTTTCTTTTTGGTAGTCTGGGATGACATATATAGAAGTGCACATGTTTGAAATGGTATGTTTTTCTGACGTTATGTAGCCTTTTATAATTATGAAATAATCCTTTACGGCTATCAGTATTTTGTCTTTATATTTTCATACCAATATAGTTCAGAGCTTATTTAAGTTTGCTTTGTGTTGCGTGGCTTAGTTTTAGGTTTTCTGTTCTTCAAGATTTTAAGTATCCTTTAAAGGCAGATTAATGTGTAAATCTGATCAGTAATGCACTCGATATTATGACATGTAATTATATAACAGGATAGTATATTGTATTTTCAGTCTTTTTGTATCATCATCTCTGTTAAAGTTATTTTTATAAAACTGGGTTTGTTTATCAGTTTCTTTCTTATTCCATTTTTACACAAATAATTGAGACTCTATTATATTAACAAGCTTTAATGCACACGAACTAAGCAGTTTTAATTCTATTATTTTTTAATATATTTTTATTTAGTACAATTTATTTACTTTGTATCCCAGCTGTAGCCCCCTCCCATTCCTCCCTCTTCTTCTCCCATGCCCCTCCCACAGACCACTGATAGGGGAGGAGGACCTCCCCTTCCATCTGACCCTAGCCTATCAGGTTTCATGAGGACAGGCTGCATTGTCTTCTGTGGCCTGGTAAGGCTGCTTCCCACTCAGGAGGAGGTGATCAAAGAGCCAGTCACTGAGTTCATGTCAGAGACAGTCCCTGTTTCCATTACTAGAGAACCCACTTGGACACTGAGCTGCCATGGGCTACATCTGTGTAGGGGTTTTAGGTTATCTCCATGGTTGGAGTATCAGTCTTAGAAAAGACCCCTGTGCCCAGATTTTTGGCTCTGTTGCTCTCTTTGTACAGCTACTGTCTCCTCCAGGTCTTTTGTAGGATTCCCTGCCCTGGCCCAAAGTTTGACTATGAGTCTCAGAATCTGCCTTAATACCCTTCTATGTAGAGTCTTTCAGAGGGCTCTATGGTAGGCTACTGTCCTGTTTCCTGTTTTCTCCCTCTTCTGATGTCTATCCCCGTTGCCTTTCTGAATGAGCATTGATCATCTTACCCAGGGTCCTCCTCCTTGTTCAGCTTCTTTAGGTGTATAGATTTTAATATGTTTATCCTATATTATATGTCTAATATCCACTTATAAGTGAGTATATACCATGTGTGTCTTTCTGCTTCTGGGATACCTCACTCAGGATCATCTTTTCTAGTTCCTACCTTTATCCTGCAAATTTCATGATTTCCTTGTTTTTTTAATTGCTGAGTAGTATTCCATTGTGTACATGTAGGACAATTTCTGTACCCATCCCTCAGTTGAGGTACATCTGAATTGTTTTCATGATCGGCTATTAAATAAAGCTGCTACGAACATGGTTGGGCAAATGTCCTTCTTGTATACTTGAGCATATTTTGGATATATGCCTAAGAGTGGTATAGCTGGATCTTAAGGTAGCACTATTCCTAATTTTCTGAGAAAGTGCCAAATTGATTTCCAAAGTGGTTGTACAAGTTTACATTCCCACCAGCAGTGGAGGAGGGTTCCCCTTTCTCCACATCCTCTCCAGCATGTGTTGTCACTTGAGTTTTTGATCTTAGCCATTCTGATGGGTGAAAGGTGAAATCTCAGGGTCATTTTGATTTGCATTTCCCTGATGACTAAGGACGAGGTTGATCATTTCTTTAAGTGTTTCTCTGCCATTCAATATTCCTCTATTGAAAATTCTCTGTTTAGCTCCGAACTTTTAATTGGATTACTTGATTTGTTGCTATTTAACTCCTTGAGTTCTTTACATATTCTGAATATTAATCTTTTGTCAGATAGAGGGTTGGTAAAATCTTTTCCAAGTCTATAGGCTGACGTTTTGTTCTGATGGCAGTGTTCTTTGCTTTACAGAAGCTTTTCGGTTTCATGACGTCCCATTTTTGATTGTTGATCTTAGAGCCTGTGCTGTTGGTGCTCTGTTCAGGAAGTTGTCTCATGTGCCAATGAGTGCAAGGCTCTTCCCTGCTTTTTCTTCTAACAGGTTTAGTGTGTCTGGTTTTATGTTTAGGTCTTTGATGCTCTTGGTCTTTAGTTTTGTGCATGGTGATAAATATTGATTTATTTGCATTTTTCTACCAGTTAGACCAGCGCCATTTGTTGAAGATGCTATCTTTTTTTCCATTGTATGGTTTTGGCATCTTTGTAAAAAATCAGGTGTCCATAGGTGTGTGGGTTTATTGCTGGATCTTCGATTCAATTCCACTGATATACCAGTCTTTTTCTATGCAGTTTTTATTACTATTGCTCTGTAGTACTGCTTGAGATAAGGGATGGAGATACCTCCAAAAGATCTTTTATTGTAGAGGATTGTTTTAGCTATTCTAGGTTTTTTGTTATTCCATATGAAGTTGACAATTGTCCTTTCAAGGTCTGTAAAGAATTGTGTTGGTATTTTGATGGGAATTGCATTGAATCTGTAGATTGTTTTTGGTAAGATGGCCATTTTTACTGTTAATCCTGCCAAGCCATGAGCATTGGAGATCTTTTTATCTTCTGATATCTTCTTCTATTTCTTTCTTCAGAGACTTGAAGTTTTTTTACGTACAAGTCTTTGACTTGCTTGGTTAGAGTTACACCAAGGTACTTTAAATTCTTTGTGGCTATTGTGAAGAGTTTCATTTCCCTAATTTCTTTCTCAGACCATTTGTCTTTTGTATACATGAGGGCTACTGATTTCTTTGAGTTAATTTTGTATCCATCCACTTTGCTGAAGGTGTTTATCAGCTGTAGGAGTTCCCTGGTAGAATTTTTGGGGTCACTCAGGTATACTATCATATCATCTTCAAATAGTGATACTTTTGACTTCTTCCTTTCTGATTTGAATCACCTTGATCTTTAGTTGTCTTATTGCTCTATCTAGAACTTCAAGAACTTTGTTGAAGAGATATGGAGAGACTTGATTTCAGTGGGACTGATTTAAGTTTCTCTCTGTTTAGGTTGGCTATAGGTTTGCTGTATACTGCCATTACTATGTTTAGGTAAGTGCCTTGTATCCCTGATCTTTCCAGGACTTTAATCATGAACAAGTGCTGGATTTTATCAATGCTTTTTCAGCATCTAAGGAGATGATCATGTGGTTTTTTTTTTTCTTTCAGTTGGTTTATATGGTGAATTACATTGATGGATTTCCATATATTGAACCACCCCTGCATACTTGGGATGAAGCCTACTTGGTCATAGCGGATGATACCTTTTATGTACTCCTGCATTTAGTTTGCAAGTATTTTGTTGAGTATTTCTGCATCAGTGTTCATAAGGGAGATTGGCCTGGAATTCTCTTTCTTTGTTGGGTCTTTGTGAGGTTTTGCTATCAACATGACTGTGGCTTCATAGAATGAGTTTGGTAATGTTCCTTCTGTTTCTATTTTGTGGAATAGTTTGAAAAGTATTGGTGTTAGCTCTTCTTTGAAGCTCTGGTAGAATTCTGTGCTGAAACCATCTGGCCCTGGGCTTTTTTTGGGTGGGAGACTTTTGGTGACAGCTTCTAGTTCCTTAGGGGAAATAGGATTATTTAATATATTTACCTGGTCTTAATTCAGCTTTAGTAAGTGGAATTGATCCAGAAAATTGTCCATTTCATTTAGATTTTCCAATTTTGTGGCATATAGGCTTTTGAAGTAAGTCCTAATGATTGTTTGGATTTTGTCAGTTTCTGTGGTTATGTCCCCTTTTTCATTTCTGATCTTGATGATTTGGATAGTTTCTCTCTGCCTTTTAGTTAGCTTGGCTAAGGTTTTGTCTGTCTTGTTGATTTTCTCAAAGAACCAGCTCTTGGTTTCATTAATTCTTTGATTGTTCTATTTGTTTCCAGTTTATTGATATCAGCCCTGAGTTTGATTATTTTCAGCAGTCTATTCCTCTTGGGTTTGTCTGCTTCTTCTTTTTCTAGGGCTTTCAGATGAGCCATCAAGTTGCTTGTATGAGATGTTTCAAAATTCTTTTTGAAGGCACTTAGTGCTATGAACTTTCCTCTTAGCACGGCTTTCATTTTGTCCCATAAGTTTGGACATGTTGTGCCTTCATTTTCATTGAATTCTAGGAAGTCTTTAATTTCTTTCTTTATTTCTTCCCTGACCCAGCTGTTATTCAGTAGAGAGTTGTTCAGTTTCCATGTGTGCATAGGTTTTTTGCTATTTCTGTTGTTGTTGAGGTCCAGTTCATGGTGGTCTGATAGGATACACAGGATTGTTTCAATCTTCTTGTAATTGTTGAGGCTTTCTTTGAGCCCATTTGTATGGACTATTGTAGAGAGGGTTCCATGAGGTGCTGAGAAGAGGGTAAATTCTTTGGTGTTTGGGTGAAATGTTCTGTAGATGCATTTGATTCATGACCTCTCTTGGAGTCATTATTTCTTTGTTTAATTTCTCTTTTCTTGACCTTTCATTTGTTAAAAGTGGGTTGTTGATGTTTCCCACTATTAATATGTGGGTATCTATGTGTGGTTTAAAT